CGGAGAAAAATAAATTATGACATGTTTATAAGTAATTAAAAAAAATTCCAATATATAATTTTGTAATAGATAATTGGACAATGTGGAAAATTGTATCCACTTGATACTTAACTTCTACTTCTCCTTCTCCTTCAATGACCTTAACTTCTACTTCCCCTTCAGATTACTAGCTGATTTTCAATACTATTACAATTTCCCATGGTTGTTTTATTGTAAGGTTCTAGTGTTGATTATTTTACCATTTATCCTTATCTCAAAAATGATTTAATGGTGATACTAGTACACTTGGAGCTTATAGCATGAATCACGTATTGAAGTTAATTGTAGAGCATAATCCTGTGGAGAATTAAATTCCATTTGATAATAAGATATTTCATTTAAATTCCTTTATGTTGACCTATGGTTGACTCCTTTCTTGATTATCACAAACAAATTGAATTCATTTGTAACAAATTGTATTCGAATGTTGATAGAGAATGCTGCAAACAAAACTTGAAGAGGCAAAGTTCAAAACAAGGCAACGATCGACATGAAGTAAAATTGACGTTGTGAAAATTGTTATTGAAATGAAAGCACAAGTCTAGCATGCACGACATGACGAAAAACCTTATTGAAGATTATAGACTTAGATGTTTTAATCTCATATGTAAAGATAATATGCTTCAATTTTTTTGCAATGAATCTTAAAAAGCTCGAGTGTCGATTTTATATTCATGAAAAATTATTTCATCAAATACTTAAACAAGATATTTTTCAAAATAACAAATTCAATCTTACATTATAAAGTGCTACTTATCTTGAAAAATTCTGGTTATAAACGTTCTTCAAAGTACTATCTTGGTCAAAATCATTGGAAAATTTGTTCACAAGTGAAACTACTGTAGCAGACGTCCGGTAAATCAATGGTTAAATTTTTTAATTGTTTTGAAACACAACAGCTAGTGAATGGTCCGGTATGATAATGGGCGTCCGGTATGACTCGTCCGATAGGATAGATTTTCTGACGATTTTACAGCTATAAATACTCCAACCCCTTGCATTCATATCCTCATTTCTAAGAGCATTAAATTGAGATACTTTTGAGCTTTAACTTTTGTTCTGTACTCTTTATTTGTCTTTATAAGCTCATTTACTTTTGAAAACTTTTGATTGAATTTACTTTTGAAAATCATTTCATTTGTCAAAGTTTTTCAAACCTTACACTTGAACTTCATTCATTGCTATTCATTAAAGTGTTTACCAACTTCTCTCCTTTGTACACAACTTTGAATATAAGTTTATTGTGGGAGAATATTTATTTTATAAAGTTTACTATTGATTGAATTGTGGGTCTTGTTGAGGTTCCGTAAAGCTCAACATCGTAAAAGGATCGTTGCTTCTTCATTGTAAGTTACCAGAAGCATTGTAAAGGGCCGATTGCACCACAAATCAATCAATTTTAGTATAAAAAGTCTTGCTCATGACAGAGAGCTTGGTAACAGGGGATGTAGAACATTGATTAGATCGAACCTCTATAACATATCGTTTGCACCTTCTTTTCCCTTCCTCTTGTTATTTTTGTGTTATCTTGCTTGCTTATTGTCTTATTTGTTAATTGGTTAAATTTACATTTATTTTCGAAAAAGTTTTAGATAAACAATTCACCCCCTCTTGGTTAGTCGTTCTTGGGCTTTCAATTGGTATCAGAGTAAGGTACTCACCTTCAAAAGATTTTACAATCTTGAGTAATGGTTAACCAAGTTTTTCAAAATCTCTAGGAACACTCCACAAACTGACCCCATTCTTTGACAGGACACATTATAATTATTGAAAGGCTAGAATGATGATATATGTGCAATCTATTGATTCTAATATTTGAGAAGTTATTGAATACGGTCCATATGTTCTTGCCAAGACTATTAAAATAGATGGTAGACTAGATCAAACTTTATCCAAATCTAGGGAAGAGTATGATGGTGAAGATAAGAGAAAATTATCTTTAAATGCCAAGACTAAAAATTTACTTTATTTTGCACTAGATAGAAATGAATTTAATCGAATAAGCACATGTGAATTGGCATACATTATTTGGCATGCACTTGAAGTTACTCATGTTGGCACAAGTAAAGTTAAGGAAACAAAAATAAATTTGATTGTTAAAAATTTTGAAAATTTCTTCATAAAACGAGATGAGTCTATTGTTGATATGATTACAGGCTTCACCGATATTGTAAATGGTCTTAAAGGTTTTGATCTTAAATTTACTAACGGTAAACTTGTTAGCAAAATGCTTAGATCCTTATCGGAAAAATGGATTGAGGATGTTGATCGAGAATACCAAGGATATAAATACATTTCCTTTGGAAAAGCTTTACTACACATTAATAACTTATAAGCTAAATAATGCCGAAAATAAGGAGAAGAAAAGAAAGAGCAAGAAGGAATCAAAGGAGCCGCCCAAACGACAAATTTCCTTAAAATTGGAAATTGAAGAAAGAACGTCAAAAGAAAACATGAGCGATGAAGAGTTCAATGACTTGGTTCTTCTCGTCAAGAAATGGAGAGGTCTTCATAATAATCGAAGATTTCAAAAGAAGGAGAAAAAGGGTGAAGAAAGAAGCAAAAAGATTATTTGCTATGATTGTGATAAGCCGGTCCATAAGAGAACCAAGTGCCCGAACAAAAAGAAAAATTTCAAGAAAAATGCACTCCAAACCACATGGGATGATAGCGATGATGAAGAACAAAATAGGAACGATAGTTAAGATGAGTAGCTAATATTTGCTTCATGGCAATCAAAGATGAGGTATGTTTAAATGAAAAATGCTCTTATGATGAGCTTTCTAATTCATATGATGAAATGTTCGAAAATTTTGAAAAAGTTGCCATGAATAATGGTATTCTTAAAAAGAAAAATTCATTGTTAAAAGAAGAAATAAAGAAAATTTCGAAAAAGCTTGATCATGATTTTGTAGTAAAGAAAAACATTGCTTTAAAAGAAAAAGTGGATGATTTAAAGAAAATTATTCATAAATTCACCTAGGGTAAGAAAATTTTGATTTAATGCTCAGGAGTCAAAATGCGTTTTTGATAAAGAGAGAATTACATATAAACCCTCTTTAAAGCAAAAATCTCTCTAAAATATGTTCATCAAAGCCTCAAACACTACATGTAGTTTTTGTAACAAAAGTGAACATGTAGCCTTTAATTGTGTAGCTAAAAAAGCTATTTTTGAAAACAAGCATAAGTGGATTCGAGAGTCCACTAACACTGATAAGTGCATTTTTATGCACTTGTTTAATACACAAACATGATCAAATTACGAGCAAAGTATTTGAATTATGGCTTAAATTCATTTAATTCTTGGATTGTAGGGTATATTGATGAACATGGTGGAATTCACGAGAAAAATAAGCGAAAAAGACCAAAATGAATCAAATTGAAAGTTCAGGGACCAAAATGCAAATCTCCAAAAGATGAACCAAAGGAGCAATCAAAGATTTGATCGAGGCAAGTACCAATTGGAGATTAACATTGATCGATGGAATGAAAAGAAGGAAGAAACGAGGCCAAGATTGTAGAAAAGAAATTTCAATGACTAAAATCAACATTGTGGAAAAAGAGACACCTATGCGGTCGCATAGGTACCATCCGAAACTAAAATTCCAAATTTTTTTAGCCTATGCGAAAGGGAGGATCGTTTTTGCAGTTTTCGTTTTGCATTAAAATTCTTTTGAAACTCAATGGGAACGCGATATAAAAGCTTATACTCATCGGAATTAGGGCGAGAACGCATTGGAGGAGAACAAAACACTTCTTGGAGATTAAATTAAGGGAGATCAACAAGGGATTTCATGAAGAACATCAAGATTTCACTCAATTTCAATACCCAGTGATGTTTTATTTTCAAGAATTCATGTATTACTTTAGTTTCTCCATGTTAGGCTAAGTTTTCTTATACTAAGAGATCGTTATATATATATATATATATGTATCATAGAAATATAGGGTGGTGATATGTAAGAACAGGTTCTACTTTGCTCGAGAGAGTATGTTGAATAAATTTAGAGGCATTGATTCTTCAATAATCAAATTGTATTGTCGTCTTGTGAAATTAGGGTTTCAAGTGAACATTACATAGGAATTCGTGATTCTAGTGCTGTCCAATTTAATTGAATACAATCAATTTTGCGTTCCCATCATCACATTACAATTAATTTTATTTAGGCACATCATTTTGCATATTTATTTAATAATCATTTTAGCAAAATTAGGGTTTTCAAAAATTAGGGTTTCCACTAAATTAGGGTTTTTTTTAGGTTAAAGTCCATTTGATAAATTCGTTTCGGTTAAGGCTAACGTAGATAAAATTGAACTGTTCGATCTCTGTAGGACGACATTCAGAACTTAATATTCCACTTTATTAGTTATTAACGAATCGTACACTTGCGGTAGTTTTAAATTAAAAGAAATAATTTTGTGAACAAGTTTTTAGCGTCATTTCCGGGATTGAATGTTTGTTTAATTTTATTTATATTGGCACTAATTCGAACATCCATATTTGAAATTTTTATTATTTTGTCTTGTTTCATTTCACTTTTTTTTTTTAATTTCTTTTTGAATTGTTTTATTCATTGTTTCATTTTAGTATCTAAGCATTCCTATTGACTCTACTCACAGATTTGCATGTTAAGGTCTGCTAAAGGAGAATTGATTACAGCTGATCCAAAAATCGAACGAACTCTACATCGAGCAGCAAGAAAATAGAGAGGCACAGCAACAAATGGCTAACGTACAGAACAATCCAATTTTTCAGGCCAATAAATAAGGGATAACGGATTAAGGAAATATGCTCGTAGGAGATTTCATGACCCCACAGATAATTCAAAGCTAGTCAATCCACCGTTTAGACAGCCTAACTTCCAATTGAAGACCAACGTGATACAACTATTTCAAAATGGGCATCAATTCTATCGAAGGGCTGAAGAGAATCCATACACTCACGTCTCTCATTTTTGGAGATGTGCCACCACTTCAGATATCAAGGAATCTCAAACGATGCAATCAGATTAAGGTTGTTCCCACATACACTGCATGACAAGGCAATTGAATGGCTAGATTCGCAACCAATTGCAAGCATCACTACATGGAATGATCTAGCTCTAAAATTCTGCACCAAGTTCTTCCTGCCCGCCAAGATTGCAAAGCTCAAGCATGATATATCTATTTTCCGTCAAGGCGAGTCAGAGAACTTTGATGAAGCCTGGAATAAGTTCAAGAATATTTTGCGAAAGTGTCCACGTCATGGGATTAGCAAGGGACTCCATGTCCAATACTTTTATGCGGGATTGCTTCCAGCCTTCAAGAGCATGGTTGACTCGTCTTCAAAGGGATCACTATCCACAAAGATAATTGATGAAGCATTGAAACTTTTTGAGACTATGGCTACTACATCAGCAATGTGGACATCGGAACTAGCAGTTCAGAAGAAGACACCGGGGGTTTATGAAGTACATGTTTACTCTACCTCGTCTGCAAAAATTGACTCATTATTTCACAAGGTGGAAAACATGTCACAATCATCCAATGTAGCACAGTCAAAGAAGACCAGTTGTGAGAAATGTGGAGCCGAACATGTAACAGCAGAATGTCCACTCTTGGCACAAGGAGCAGAGCAGACAGATTTTGCTCAATGGGGACAGCGTCAGCAGAATAATACATTTGGAGAAACATACAATTTGAGTTGGAAAAAGCACCCGAATTTCTCTTGGAGCAATCAAAACCATAATAGGCCACAAGGTAAGTATCAGCAGCCAGAGAAAAAGCCTCAATTGGAAGAGATGTTCGATAAATTTATGGAGAAGACCAACCAGTAGATGGAGGCTAATAATCAATTCACAAGAAAAACCAAGGCCATTCTTCAAGACCAGAATACTGCCATTAAAAATCTAGAGACTTAAGTGGGATAGATGGTAGTTGCTTTGACTCGTAGAGCACTAGACAGCTTACTAAGTAACACAGAAATAAATTCGAAAGAACATGCTAAGGCAATTACAACTCAAAGTGGAAAACAACTACTTGAAATACATGTAAAAAGGTCGGGTGTAAATGAAGAAACAAAATCTCCTACGATAGAAGAGCCTAGAGAGCATGACGAGTAGATAAAGGAATCTAACCCAGCTGAAAAACCAGGCAAATCACAGGATAAAGCAACCTTTAACCCTCATGAGCCTCCCATACCTTTTCCACAGAGGCTAAAGAAGTAGAAGTTGGAGCAACAATACAAGAAATTTCTCGAAGTCTTCAAGAAGCTCCACATCAATATCCAACTCGTCGATACGCTATTTCAGATGCCTAGCTATGCAAAGTTCTTGAAGGACATACTATCAAATAAATGCAAGCTAGGAGACCATGAGACAGTGATGCTAACAGAGGAGTGCAACGCTAGAATTCAAAAAAAGCTTCCGCCGAAATTGAAAGATCCAGGGAGTTTTATTGTCCCTTACACTATTGGTGAAATTTACTTTGATAAAGTTTTTTGTGATCTTGATGCAAGTATTAATTTAATGGCTCTATCTGTTTTCAGGAAACTTGGCTTGGAAGAGGCTAAGGCAAGTACAATGACACTGTAGCTAGCTGGTCGGTCATTGACACATCCCAGGAGAATAATAGAGAACATGCTTGCACTACACCAAAAAAAGGTTTTTGCAACGGCTAAAAAATGCTGCAAAAGACCTTTTGCAGCGTTTTACCGTTTGTTGCAAAGGTCAATGTTGCCATTGAAAGAAGACTTTTTACAGCATTTATTCAACGTTGCAAAAGCTAGTCTTTTGCAATGTTGTTTAAACGTCGCCGTAGTTTTTTTTTTTTTTACACCAATTTATATTAATTGATTTGCAAAATTGAAAATGACAATTGTGAACAAATTTTGGAATTGCATAAAAATTGATAATTTCATTACAAATTTTTGAATCAATACACTTGAACATAAAACAACACCACCTAAAAAAAATAAAAAAAAATAAAAAAATAAAAAAAATTGGACAATCACTACCTACAAAAATAATATACAAAAAGGCCTTCGTACAAAAATTTAATAACCTCTTCCACAATTAATATACAAAAAATAATAATAATAAAAATAAAAATTGAACACTCACTACCTACAAAAATTTGAGTAGACAATCCAAATTCCACCATGTAATTTGCAAATTGCATCATTCCTACCCCTCGGCCACTGCAGTTGAACCAGATCCATCAATCCAGTTGCCACAGAATAGATCCATTTGCTTAACCATGCTTGCAACCAATTACCCAAGCAGCTTTCTTGTAAGTTCTCTCTTATTATTTTTTCTTACAAGCGATTCTTGAAACTATAGTCTGATAAACAGGATATGATATAGATGCGACAATCAGACTTGTACAGTCCCTATATCTTGAGAACCACGAAGAATGAACCCATTTGTAAAGTTAGAAATAAATATGAAAGGAATTTTTATAAGTTAAATGCACAAGTAACATAAGCCAACATCAACCTGGAAATTATTGTTTACTAAACAAACCCTCAAATTTTTATTTTTATTTTTTATGCAGTAACGCAAAAAGCCATGAGTAAACGCTCACGAGAAAAGAGAATGAAAAAATGGGACAAAGGAAAAGATATTGCTCATTGGTACACCAAAAAGAAGAGGAAGCTGGACATTACAAACATGACCATCTGAAAAAAAATGATTGGACAATAAATGATTGGAATTCATAATAATTCTTGAACATTTGAAAACATAAAGCAAAACAGAAACTAAGACAATGTAAACACTATGAACGTTTTTGAACAGCACATCACAATAACACAAATCAAATTACATCACATACAATGAAAATGAATGCCAAACATGACCATCAAAAGCTACAATTTTACAGGCAACTGCTATAGGTAAAAGAAGAAGAAAGAAGCATTAGAAAAGGGGAAATAGAAGAATGCGTCATCAAAATAGAACTGACTATTATTGAGACTACTACTTCCTTTTCCATCTAAGATAAGCCATCAAAAGAGTCACTCATGCAAACCAAGAACAATAAGATAGAACAAGGGTAAGGTTTCAATATATTCCATCAAGAGAAAAGTTAACATGGAGCGGTAGATAGTTTCCCTGTGTGCCAGCACTTTTAAATCACTACCATTTACTCTCTCTGATTGAGACATATTTGAGTTCCCAAAACAATCTTCTCTAAATCATTAATATAGTAATTGACAAGTGATATGATTGCTCCTACAACCATGACAAGTCATATGATCGCTCCTTTCTCCATGGGAAAACTATTATTGAGTACATATCAGAAGAATGAAGGATTTTACATAACAGAGAAATAGTAGTCCAATGACAAGCCAAAACAAGATGTGATACTTTGTGATATGTATTACATATAAAGTCCCAAAGTTACTGGTATGATCTCTAAGTATGGTCTCAAAGGGATAATCCTAGTCTTTAGAGAAGAAGGTCCCCTCCTCCAAACTTCCAGTTCAATTATTAACTCCAGAAAGCCTATGATAAAAGTCTGAGTTTTATGTTAGAAGCACAAGCCATTCCACAGTATTCAAGCTCAATCCTTCAACCTTCATACTGTAGGTGAAACACCAAAATCGGCATTAAAATTATAATTTTAATGAAATCATATATGGTTAGTTGCACAACAAGCAATCCGATCGATATAGATAATATTTTATTTTGTAGTAACCATAGCTAAAAAGCCAACACAATCGAGTAATTTGCCAGCTCCTAGGCTAGAATTCCTCACTCTAAATTTCCCGAATGGTGCCCTCAATTTATCATCCATTCATCCTCAACACAACTACAAATTCGGGATTTCATTTCCAAATAAATAGTGCTCTTTCACAGCCAATTCTAAGAAATGCACAAAATAAAAACAGTAGTGAAAGCATATTTTCAAAGCTAACTCAGTTACAACAAATAAATTATCGATTAATTGACAAATCTTGTGAAAAATTAGGAGCTAGAAAAAGAAAATTCAAGAACCCAAAAACTTGCCCTTTTAAATGGGATTCAAAGAATGAACAAGAAAATTAAATTTTAGATAGAACTTGAGTACAGTTTAGGAATCAGAATCAAGGGGCTTTACCTTCTTCTTCTTCCGTTGTCGAATCATTGGTGGAAATGTAGACTCGAAGGACTGCTGTCGGCTGCCGTGTCTTGCGAAGTTCAAGGGCTCGAAGGTGCTACGTCTAGGGCTCGAACGTAGGAGGCCGGTGGTCAGTGGTGGAAGGCGACGAGATAGAAAGGAGAGACAAGCTGCATCGTTCATGTGGGAGTAAAACTCGTGGTTTGAGTATTACCTCTACCTATTTTACTCTTAGTCTCATCCATTAATGGCCAAAAAGAAAAGGTTTTCACAACGTTTAATAAACGTTGCCAAAGACCAATTTTTGGCAACGTTTATAAATGTTGCGAAAGATAAAACTTTTTTGCAACGTTCATATAAATGTTGCAAAAGACGGCTTTTGGGAACGCTTTATAAACATTGCCAATGATAGAATTTATATTAACGTTGCAAAAGACAGCTTTTGGCAATGTTTATAAAACGTTGCCAAAGATAGATTTTTGAAATGTTTTATAAATGTTGCCAAAGATAACTTTTTGCAACGTTTTATAAACGTTGCGAAAGATAAAACTTTTTGCAACACTAAGTAAACATTGCAAAAAGGAGACATTAGCAACATTTACTTAAAAAAGTTTGCCAAAGCTCAATTATATTAAGCAATAGCAACATTCATATATTTGAATGTTGCGATTGACTCATTTAGCAACATTTAATTAACGAATGTTGCCTTTTGCATGTTGCAAAAAGCCATTTTTGTTGTAGTGTTGTCAAGGTTGGAAAATTTATATTCCCTACGAATTTCCTAATATTGGACATGAAAGAGGACAAGAACATCCCATTGATACTCGGTAGACCCTTCTTGGCAACAGAGAGAGCTTTGATCGATGTTCAGAATGGGCAATTGATTTTGAGACTGGTAGAAGAGCAGGTCTCGTTTAATGTATTCAAGGCAATGAAACTACCTACAGAATCAGATAATTGTTTTCAGATCGACGTGATTGACAAGGTGGTTCAAGACTTATTTTTGCTACACAATCCATCATATGCTTATGAAGCTTACATTGCACACTCTCAATCAACACAATCCGACTCAGTGGAGATGGAAACATGTGCACAGTTTTTGGATACCAACCTACCTTACACATGCAGAAGGCATTTTGAGGAACTTGGGACAGGAACCACGAACCCACTACCATCTATTCAGTAGCCACCGAAATTAGAACTCAACCAGCTGTCGCCACATCTCAAATATGCATACTTGGGGGAGTCTTGTACACTTTCAATCATCATCTCAAACACAATCAGTGAAGTGGAAGAGGAAACTGCTTAGGATACTCAGGAAAAATAAAATAGCAATTAGATGGACTATAGCAAATATCAAAGGGATCAGCCCTTCACCGTGTATGCAAAAGATTCTCATGGAAGAGAATTTTCGGCCAACCATAGAAAGTCAAAGGAGGTTGAACCCCAATATGAAGGAAGTAGTCAAAGCAGAGGTCCTTAAACTTCTAGATGTTGAAATCATATATCTGATATCAGACAGTGCATGGACTAGCCCAGTTCAGGTAGTACCAAAGAAACGTGGAATCACAGTGGTGTCAAATGAGAAGAACGAGCTGATACCGACCAGAACAGTGATGGGATGGAGGGTTTGCATAGATTATTGCAAACTCAATGTAACTACAAGGAAAGATCACTTTTCCCTTCCGTTTATTGATCAAATGTTGGAGAGATTGGCAGGCCACTCACATTACTATTTCCTCGACGGGTATTCAGGTTACAATCAAATACCAATGGCACCAAATGATCAAGCGAAAACAACCTTCACTTGCCCTTATGGTACTTTCGCATATTGCATGATGTCTTAGGCCTTTGCAACGCCCCTACAACATTTCAGAGGTACATGATGGCTATTTTCTCAGACATGATAGAAAAGTTTATAGAAAATTCATGGATGATTTCTCAGTCTTTGGGTCTTCATTTGATGAGTGTTTGGAACATTTGAATCTGGTATTACAAAGATACAGGGAAATAAATTTGGTATTGAACCAGGAGAAATGCCACTTCATGGTGCAGAAAGGGATTGTACTTAGGCATCAGGTTTCAACAAAAGGAATTGAGGTAGATAAAGAAAAAATTCAGGTTATTGAGAAGCTACCACCGCCAACATCAGTTAAGGGGGTTCGTAGTTTCTTGGGACATGTTGGATTCTACAGAAGATTTATTAAAGATTTTGTAAAAATTACTAAGGCTCTATGCAACCTGTTGGTGAAAGGCGTGCCATTTGACTTTAATGAGGAATGCCCGACAACTTTCAACACTTTAAAGGAGAAACTCACATCAACACCGATAATTGTAGCATCTGTTTGGAAATTACCATTTGAATTAATGTGTGATGCCAGTGATCATGCCGTGGGTGTCGTACTGGGACAGCCAAGAAACAAGGTTTTTCACGTGATTTACTATGCAAGCAAAACATTAAATCATGCCCAGATCAACTGTGCAACCACTGAGAAGGAGCTCTTGGCCATAGTTTATGCATTCGAAAAATTCAGGTCATATTTTGGGGGGTCCAAGGTCAAAATCTACACAGATCACTCTGCACTGAAATATTTGATGACAAAGAAGGATGCTAAGCCGAGACTAATCTGTTGGGTATTAGTACTGTAAGAATTCGACATTGAAATTAGGGACAAAAAGGGCAATGAAAATGTAGTGGCAAATTACCTATCTCAATTGAAGCCGGGAAAGACAGACGAATCAACGGATATCAATGAGATTTTCCCGGACGAGCAAATGTTAAGTGTGGAAGAAGTACCCTGGTATGCTGATATTGTAAACTATTTAGCTAAGTCTATTCCACCGCCAGATTACTCGAGTCACTAGAGGAAAAGTTCTTTGCCGAATTGTAGTACTATTTTTGGGAAAATCCCATACTCTATAGGGTACGGGCCGATCAAATTGTGCGAATGTGCATGCCTGAAAATGAAGTACCCGAGATTCTTGAGCATTGTCATTCATTTGCCTATGCGGGGCACTTAGGATCTTCTAAGACTGCTGCGAAAATTTTACAATCGAGCTTTTATTGGCCTACATTGTTTAGAGACGCCTTTGAGTATGTCAAGAGGTGGGATAGATGCCAACGCACTGGGAATATCTCAATAAGGAATCAGATGCCACTTAACAACATATTGGAAGTTGAGGTATTTGACGTCCAGGGAATTGACTTTATGGGAACTTTTCTCCCATCGTTCTCAAATTAGTATATCCTGGTAGTAGTTGACTATGTGTCAAAAATGGGTGGAAGCAGTTGCATTGCCAGCAAACGAAGCAAAGGTGGTGATTAGGTTCTTGAAAAAACACATCTTCACTAGATATGGCACACCGCGGGCAATAATCAGTGATGGGGGCAAATACTTCTGCAATCGCCAATTTGAGCAATTATTAAGTAAGTATGGGGTTAAACGCCATGTAGTAACTCCATATCATCCACAGACCAGTGGGCAAGTTGAAGTGTTTGATCGGTAGTTGAAGAGAATATTAGAGGTTACAGCGAATTCCTCTCAAAAGGATTGGTCTAAAAAGTTGGACGATGCATTGTGGGCATACAGGACAACATTTAAGACATCGATAGGCATGTCTTCATTACGCCTAGTCTTTGGAAAAGCGTGCCACCTCCCACTAAAGATAAAACATCAAGCATATTGGGCTATGAAATAGTTAAACATGAATTTGAAGGCCGTCGGTGTAAAGCGTTTATTGTAACTCGATAAGTTAGATGAATTCAGGATGGAAGCATATGAAAACTCAAAGCTTATTAAAGAACGCACCAAAAAGTGGCATGATTTACATATTCAGAGGCGAGAGTTCGAAGTGGGGCAGAAAGTTCTATTATATAACTCGAGACTCAAGTTTTTC